TTCTAATTACTGAGAGAGTTCAGCTGGTGTCTTGGCTTTCCATTCCTGTTTACACCTCCCTTTCTTCAATTTGTTCAATACTTTTTCCCTCTGCCATTCCACATTATTACAAATAACTTCATTTCTGGACATTTATGGTTTGATTTCTTTGTATGTATGGATCACTTGGGTTGTTACCAACATCTGGTGAAAATTTCATGTCATTAGCACCTCTAGTAATATGTTTACTGAGAAAAATGGTGACGTGTTCAATACTTATTTTACCCGCTGTTACTAATAGCTGGCCGGTTGTTTACTTAAATATTAATGAAATTCGGTGTAAACTACATACGGTATTTTTCTTGATTACATGAATATGGTATTTATATTTGTCCTGATACTGTATGTATAATAATCAATATAATGATAATAACAATTTTTTTTTTGCTTTATAATGTCATCTCCACTGACTGTAAAGGTTCCCAGAAAGGCCTTGAAAAGGCCCATGGACCACCAGTTGATAATCACAGTTGTAGCTTGTTTTGTGGCTCTGGACACATTTTATTAGTCAGACAAGAAGCACAATTGGCTCTTTTGATTGTAAAGGTTGCAGACACCTGCCATAGACCAAGCAAACATACCTCTAGTGCAGTCAGTCACTTTGAGGATGTAAATTTGTATTTTTCTTAGTGTTTTTTTAGATATGTCCATTTTTATTTTTCAAATTCATCTTTTTAGCAAGGTTTACTCGAGTTTTGCGTATTGTACTTGTCTGGAGCTAAACTGCAAGTGAACTATGCAAGTAAATATTGCATAGATTTCAGAATAATTTGGCAATGATAAATGAATTCATCGAGACTTGAACAGATTTCCTTATTAAAACTCTTCAGAGATTATCTCAAACCAAGTTGTTAGTTTTGTACATAACTGTCACTCTTTACTTCAACTGTGTCATCCATGGCAACATCATGCAGCTCATGGGCATCAAACTGAACAAGTAATGTCTTAATTCAAGTCAATTCAATTTATTTATAAACACTCAAAGAAAAGATGTAGTTGATTTAAAAATGGTTCCATTCAACTGAATAGAGTAAAAGGTAACACATTTATTTACAGAAATGTAATACATTTACATAAAAGTGAACAAAATGGTATCACTAAGTCACAATATACCAGGGCACGGTACACAAAACAACAATCAATCTAAAGAAGCGAGCAGATTGTGTTGAATCACTTCAGTCTCCCATCCTGAGCAGCACAATGGTGACAGTGGAGAGGAAAAACTCCCTTTTAACTGAAGAAACCTCCAGCAGAACCAGAACCAGGCTCAGGACAGGCAGCCATCTGCCTTGACCGGCTGGGTTTGAGGGGACAGGAAAGAGACACAAAGAAACCAAGGCAAAACACTCTGATTTCAAACTCTTGTTCTTCTTTTACAGGGTTGAAAAAAATACCAACAAACAAAACAACAACAAAAGAAAGATTTTAGGAAAAATACCAGCCTACAGCAGATTTTTAAAAACAAGAATAGTATACATTCAATTTTACTGTGATGTTTTTAATTTACATTGTGTTAAAATGATACATACAGAATGTCTGAAATGTCTGAATAGTGGGCTGCTCTGTTTTTGTTATTATTTGAGTTAGTTAAGTGATTCATTTCCTAGCATGGACTCAACTTTTAGGTCAATAATTGCCAAAAGGGTTCAGGTTGGGGCTTTGGGAAGGCCATTTCAAAAGCGTAACCTCAGTCTGCTTTATTGAATTAGAAACCAGTTTTGATGAGTTTGGGATCATTTTGATGAAACATCTGCATGTGTCCAAGTTTAAAATGTCAAGCTGTTTATTTAAGAGGAGTTTAAGAATTTAGATTTTTTTCTTTCAGTATTCCATCTACTAGTAAAATGAACCCTCTGAACATATGTTTGTCTTAATCTTTGTCTCATCTGACCATAAACATTTGAGGCAAGTGGTTGGTTCATTTGAGCAGCTGTAAACGTCAGATGTAAGATGTGTGTCTCAATCCATGGTGATGTAAACCTCACCACTGTGTGTAAAAGACACTGGTGTCCACAACATCAGTGTGAACAGAGACATGGTTATTTTAGCAACACAGATAGAACACTCATACTGTCATGAATGTGTGATTACACAGTTATAGTGTGTTTTATTTAATTTGACAAACTCTCTAACCTGATCATTGTTAAGTATACCTGTCATTCAATCTTTAACTACACTTAATGTAGTTATTTATAACTCTTTTAATCAGATGTGTCTTTGTTTAGAGTGACAAATACTTAATAGGAACACAAAACATTTATTACAATTTAAAAGGTTTACTATTCCACCTGCGTATTACAAGCATCTACAAGTACAAGGTCAGAATCACAGCCAAAAGCAGAAAGGATAAAAATGCAAAAACAATAAAAAAAATAAATAAAAACAAGTGGGCATTTTTGAAGCTTGAATTAAGAATTTTTGTGAGTCTTTTAAAAGCTTTACAAGTGGAATGACGGTGACACCTGATGGACAGGTATCAGCCTGTGGCTCAGTCACTATTCGACACATGCCAGGCAGAATCAGTGCTCTTCTCAACACTCCCTGTTACTCTGTGAGAAATCAATTTAAGCTCAAATATGTATGCATTTACACAGATGTATTGATTCTCACTGACAGACATCTCATAGCATGAAAATCAGTGATGACAAATAATATTTACTCTAGTTACGTTAGTTTTAGTTCCTCAGTAAAGGTTGACAAGAAATCTGCATGTACACTCAAAACTACGGAGCCTGTCCAGTGACATGGATTAAAAATAATTTCACATGGCCACAAGATGACGTGTGTGCATGCAATAATTACGTTGTGGCCATCACATGGCTTGTTATTGTCATTTCTACGCAGACTGTTGTTTACATGGACAACTCTGAATTAAACCAATTTATTTTTATTTTAATAAAATAAATGACTTTACTATGTCAGCACCTTATGTTAGGCATGAAGTAGCTATTTTTTTTAGCTGTATTTGCTGCAGCTATAAGTTCCAGGTGATAACTGGAGTTATTTGTCAAAAAAGCTTTATTTTCTTCTTTTTTTTTTTTTTTGACGCTCAACTTTCAAAAGTTGAGCTGAGGCGCAGGGGGACACGAGCACTCCTGTAAAATCACTTTACTCCGTTTCTTTAAATGTAAATGTGAAAATGCCTTTAATTTTACTCAACTCAGTTTAATGGAAATTGTTGACAACTTGGTTAACTAATTCCTACAGTCTGAGTGTACATCAGCAGGATCTTCCTCTAAAGGAATAAAGCTCCTCTTCTCAGACCTGTGCATTTTGACATTAGTATGAGTTGAAGAGTCTTCTGTGAAAAACAACAGCAAAAGAATATTGTTTATGTCAACAATTAACCTCTTCAAAACAAAACAGCTTTTTAGAAAACAAAAATCATCTACTTGATTTTTTTATATCAGGATTTCCTATTCACAAATATGTGACTTAACGCTAACAGTTTAAACACCCCAGTTTAAAAAAAAAGTTTTGATCATGAGAATTACTTTTCAAGACAATTAAATTATCTTTCCCTCCACACCAGAGCAGATCCAGGAAAGGGCACAGAGGTCCGGGCCCCCAGGGCGCACCCCATCCGGGCCAAAGCCCGACAGGTCCAGAGGTCCCGAGCCCCAGCAGGCTGTCACCAGGCCAGGCCGGCACACACCCCAGCGCCCAGTCCCTTTCCTGGATCTGCTCTGGTATGGTGGGTGCCGGTGGGGCCCATGAGTTTGTCGCTGCTGGCCCCGGGGGCTGTGCATGTGGTCGCTGGGGGGACTCTCCCAGTTCTCCCCTATGGTCTGATCTGGGGGGTGGGTGGGCCGATCTTCCCGTGCGGGTGCCCCTTGGGGCTCTGCGCTCGGGATCCCTCTCGGACCCTTGGGCTCTGGTCTTCCCTATGTCTGCCTCGTGTCTTGGGGGTTGGGTCTCGGTCCTCCACAGTCACTATTAAATATTCCATTGGAGAAATCTTGTAAATACACGCGTGTTCACAACTGCTCACAGACAGGTGCTCTGATCCGGGGGTTCTGACTGGTCACTGAGTGTGTATATATGTCTGTGTGTATATACTGACAATATTTATGAATGTAGGCATGTATGTATGTATATCTTTATATATGTATGGGTATGTGTATATTTTTTTATATGCCCTCCATGTATTTATCCATTTATTTTTCAGGTGAGCGGACAGATGTTGGGTGTGTGGTCCTGTGTTTTGTTGGTGTATATTTAATAGACTTCTTATCGCCATTTCAATCTTTTTATCTTTCTAATTACTTCTCTCTATCTCTATTTTCTCTCCACTTAAAAAAGTCACTGATGATGAAGAAATAAATAAACTAAATAAACTAATATTTGGTTTTGTTTTCTACTGAAGTGAAAAAAAGTTACCTTTCCCTGAAGAATTATACCAATGTGTATTTGGTCTCAAAATCTCTGCATCAGCTCCAAAACACTGGAAAACATTTATTAATAAAATTATCTGATCAGATCATCAACAGTATACATTGTTTCTTTCAAAATAAGTCTGTAACTTGTGTTTGATTCAAGTGCTCTACTACAACTACATACAAAAAGTAGCCAGCACTTTGTTTTTCTCAATTAGTCGTCTTACAATCTAGAATTTAAATACATTTGGGATTTATTTTTAATAATATAACTACCACTTTGAAGATGTTAAATGTCAGGTAGCTCTGCACACAGGGAAACAGAATTACAAAAACATAGAAAATAAGAATTAACTGAGCAGCAGGGATCTTTACCAGAAGCCATATGGTGCTCCAGAATCGACCAGACTGTCAGAAGAACCTTATAAAGCCCTGGTGCTCATCAGCAGGATCTGCTGCAGCTGCTGCCAATCTCTGCCCAGGAAACAAATTAAGGAGTTGCAAGACCTAAAAGAAAATAATGAAAAAAAAAAAAAACACGGAGAAAAGTTTCAAACTTTTTACTGTGAGTAACTCCATCATGTAACAATGGAGAGGCGTCAGGTCACAGCTGCATCTCAAGGATAAACCACACTCTTCTAGAGGAGGATAAAGGAAGTCATTCAGATCAAACAAAAAAAAGGAAACTTTAAAAAGAAGAGGAGTTCACAGATTTAAGTTTTCTAAAACAGACTGAAGCATTAAGCTTGGTTCCCAGTCATTTTCATTTCAGTTCACACTGTCATGCATGTGACTAAAGCATCTCTATTATGAGCTGATTTTGTTAAGTCTTACAACCTTATTTCTAATGAAGTAGGGATGTCGTGTAAAACAAATAAGAGAATACCTTGATGTACATTTTTTTCAACCTATATTTAATGGAATTCACTACAAATATTTAATCAATGGCTTTTTTCTGTCACTCTTTCATGAAGCCCAGCTCTGAACAGCTTCAGTGGACAGATCCTCCCAACTCTGCAGAAGAGTTCTCCGGCTCCTTTGGCCTCCTGGATGTTTCTCTGGTCTACCTCACCTTCTCAGTGAGTTTTGGTGGACAACCCTCTCATGTTAACTAAGGTGGAATAATCTTTTCATTTCCTAATAATGTACTTTAAAGAGCTTTGTGGGATGCTCAGGGTTCCGGGATATTCATTAAACCAACCTTGATCTATACTTTTGTTTTTGTCTCTGACCTGTAGAGAAAGATCCTTGGGCTTCTACTGAGAGGTGTTAAACTGGTGTTGATAGCTATCAGAACAGATACACTGAAGTACTTGCTGACCCACGGAGCTAAACTTTGTGGCTGCAGAAGATAAACGTGGCTTTAAATCAAAGAAGAACGGAGTAATACATAAGCATAAAACACTTTTAAGTGTATGTATTTATTTAATTGTTTGTTTGTTTGTTTTTTATTAAAGGAAAACATGATTTCCCTTTTTAACCTTATGGTATTTTTATGTCGTCTAATTACTTATAATAGAATAAAAAAAATCTATGTAAACTCCAGGCTGTAAGACAACAAAACACAGAGAAAAAACTTATCCATCATTTTATGGGGATACGAAGAACCTTTATTAACTTGTGTTTGCACACAGAACTGATGAAAAATACCCTGCAAGCTGTGTTACACACATATATATATATA